GCCAATGCTCTACCAACTGAGCTACTGTCGCCCCAGTATTATGCAAGCGACGCTTGCATAATAATGTGAGTTCAAATGTGAGCAATATGTTTTTTATTATCTACCTCGGTCATTAAACAGCCTTAATTTTACGATAGCAACTTGCGAATGGGGTTAGGGTACTTGTTTTTTTTAACGACATGTTTGTGTGTTGATGTTGTTGTTGCATTTAAGCGCTGATGAGACAAAAACACAGGCATACTAATATGATTTGAGAGGACGGATGGCAGGAAGCAGACAGCACTAATGCAGTAGCTCCTGCATTAAATCCATAGAGACCAACCACAAAGCGCTTGCACAAGTAGAGAGAAAATAGTGCCTCATCATACATGCATCTTTACCTCTCAACAAAGAGACTCACAGAAGAACACTGGTGACAAAATCTGTGTCACAGTAAAAAGATGTGCGCTCTTCTCCATCTCCATACTATTGGAAAGATCCTGTGTGGTGACAGAGCACCACTACCTGTCAACTCGCATCACTAACAAACACTGCAGCAGGAAATGATAAGAGCAATGACCCAGTCCTACAAACTTGGCTGTTCACATGAGCTGCAGCAGCATCAAAAGTAACAAATATACATAGTCAAGCTCGTACCATATCCACAGAAAATCCAGAGACCGGACAAATTTGCACATTTTCTGAGAGGTTTAGTAAAGTGAGTTGATCTTTGAAGGTATCATGAAAGCACGAATGTGAGTGTACTGACTGTTAACCTGAGAAAAACTTTTGCAGGTTGTGGTTTGAGGTTAAAAATCAGAGCGATTCCACCAACTTGATTTCAGACGACACCTTTTCAAAAACATAATCAATTCATATAACACTAGTTTTGTAGAGCAGTGAGATAAAATTACACTCTATAATGATATGGCTGTTTGTGTTGTTGCTTTTATTTTGTGCACAAAGAAGAGGGTGCAAACAAATCTGTTATTTACTGTAAGTATACGTTTGGTGACAATCTTAAGAAATGTGTCTAAAGTGTTTTGCGTCAGGCTGAGGTTCAAGTATTGCAAATAAAAGAAAACTAGACATCAAAAGGAATAGCCTGGTGTCCAGACTGTTTTATATATTTAATACCCCGAGGGCAATTAGCTCAAGAGTCTGTAAATTCTCCAGGCCAGAACCAAAGTGCATAAAAGTCCTCATTTGTTTTGCTTTTCACGCAGCTTTTCAAATTGTTAATGATGTGATACAAAATAGGCAAATTTTTGTTAAAAATATAAATGTTTACAAATCAATCTCCCACTTTTAACAAATGTAATTGCGATCAAACATTCTATGCCAAACTATAATGTTGGTTCTAATAACAACATAAATCAATTCCTTTATCACAACAAATAACATAATGTATTAAATAAGTTTGCCTTGATGTTACGCTCTTCAGAGATTGGGCTCGTCAACACTGCTCTCGGCGAAAGGACGACTCTAAATCCTCTGCTCTGCCGTGCTCAGGCTTTGGGCCGCACCTGTCCACTCATCACTACAGTATCTTTATAAATGGAGAGAGCGACTACAGAGGATGTGAGTGAATGCGTGCGTGAGTACAAAGCCTGCTGCTGCTGCTGTTGTTATTTCCTGCAGTTCTGGTAAGTTCTCTGAAATGGTTTTGTGGTTGCAGCTCAGAGTTTTGCAACCAGCTGATAATACTGGAAAAGTCAGATTTACAAAGAGATAAGGAGTATATTGGCAAGTAAATAAAAGTGTAATAACAAATGATACTGATTAATATATGATACTAATAGTTGTGGCTAATGTGTAGGAAACATTTAGTGAACAAATCAGACCAAAACATGCTGTCTTTATTTTATGTGACTGATAAGATGATAAAGTGTTTACATGCAAATATATAAGCATGTCAAAACTAGATAGAACTGTTATGAAGGAGTTCTATGGATTGTGTTTAATTGTTTTGTTTTTTTGTGGTTTCAAAGTTAGGAACTCCAGCTTTCATCAGTATTGATGCATGCAGTATTTCCTAATTGTGTAAACTGTTCCATTCAAACACTTATCACGTCTATCTGTAACATATTTTGTTCATCGATGTCTTCAAATCTCCATCCAAACACGGGTCCACTTTAAGTTGTAATTCATGTTGGTCTTGGAGTTGGCCTTTTCCGCCGTGATAGATCTGTGATTGGTGGAGTAATCTTCTTAGTATGTTTATGCCACGGCTAATCCGGGCACTCCCTGGCATTTATCTAAAGTATCTGAAACTCAAGGCTGCCCCATGCTGAGACGGGGCAGAGAGTCATTAGTGCCGGGGGCAAGACCTAAAGGTGTCATTAGCCACCACAGATGAGCTACTCCTTTATATCACATTTGGATGTACTATATTTAAATTGATGTGATTACTGGTTACAGTTTATGAGGTCAAGTATTCATTCAAATCCAAATAACATACAACTACTATCATCTCATGCTCTGTACCTGATTAAGAAAATAAAAGATTAAGATAAAGAATAATCATGAACCTCTGAAGAAATATAGATACAAGACCAAAAGCAACATTGAATGTGTGGCATTAATGAATGTGTGCATTATTATTATTATTATTATTATCAGTGCATCAAAAAAAATTACAATTTTGACAATCCTGATGAATTTAGTTGATACAAAACCCCTTTGTAATAAAGTGGCAAACAGCCCATGACAAATAACATAAATATCTGGCTGATTTACAATTCACTTACTTTAATCTATAGCATAATGCTAGACATATATGTCTTCATTGCAGAAAGGGCCTGCTTCAGGCTAAGCCCAGAGTGATCTATCGAACATTCATAATCTATCTTCCTATGACAGCACGTACAGAGCAGAAACCAATTATCGACATGTGCCTTGGAAATGGAGACCAGATACGATAAAGGATGTGCCTGCAGCAGAGAAGCTATAGGCCAAGACACAATTAACCTTTCCTCAATACAGGCAAACACCAGAGCATGATATTATACCAGTATTGGCTTAAATACAAGAGTGGCTTCTATTGAACCTGCTCTGATCACTGCGGGTACAGTTCAACTTATGTTTCCTTATGTTTAGTTTATCTCACGTTAACTGATGCCATTTCCTGTCCCCCATCTATTCCAACACTCCCACTTCCAACTGTTTGCTTCTATTTTTTCCACTGGCCTCCTCCCTACCTGGCAGCACGTCAGCAGTAGGTGTGGCTAGCAACATCACAACAAGGATGGAAACAAGGTCATGCGCACACACACACATCACGTATGAATGAGGTACTGGCTTGGGCTGAAAGGGCAGGGATTTGGCTACTGGTCTATATTTAATGAAGCCTAGTAAAAAAAACACTTGCCAATAGCAAGAAAAGAGTTGAATTTATGAGAATATTATTAAAGGAAAACTGGGAATTATACCAGGGAATGTGTAGGTATAGATAATATTAAATATAAACCATTTTAAAGACAAACTGCATCACAGTTGATTGAGATGATACATGCTGACGTCTGAATACCTGGCACTACCCCCTATGTTGCCCCCGGTGACATGACTAGTTACGGAGTGGTTGGACGGGGGTGTGCAGTGACCATCTGTCTAAGGCCCGAAGATCAATGGATCCAGGGGGTGGAGGCCTGGTGTGCGCGGGCGGCGAGGGAGTGGTTACATGGCTAAATATGTAACCGACCGTCAGAGTCCTCTTCCTCAAACTGAAGCCACTCTCGCTTCCTTTTTTTTTAGGAAATTTGCTTGTGAATTTGAAAATTTTTTTTGTTACATGAAAATAGACTGAGTTAAGCTGTTGTTGTTTTATTTACACACAAAAGCGTTCAGTTATTCAGTAGTAGCACATACGTTTAGGTAGTAGCTTATTTTTGTGGCAGTTGGTTTGCTTGTTTTTTGTTTTTGTTGCTTGGTCGGTTGTTCCTCTCTAAAAATCTGGCATTCCTGTCGGCTGTGACCAGGGCTTGACTCCATATGGAGGCTGTTTATTTACTGACCACAAAGCTCACTCCTCTTCCCACTGGTACCATACATAACCAATAATCATGAATGGTATGTTCTAGTGACAAGTTTCAACTTTCAGCAATAAGAAAAAATAACAAAAACTGTTGCACATGCTTAGCTTGTGCTAATGTCAAATATGATGGCTTGCATCATGTACTTTGTTTCTAGTGGTAATCGTGCTTTTATCCTCCACTGCTCCTGACAGGGCGCCCAAGTGGCAGTGAAGGATGGTTTGACTGCGAAAAACAAATTCCAATGTGGGATTAACTACAAATAAAATGTTACAGTAATGTTCAGGTCATGTAAAACCTAGTATTGCAATGGTTTAAAATAGGTATGGCATAACATCTGCAAAGTAAAACATACACTCCAGATTTATAGATGACTTAATCATAAGTGTTTCCTTCACAGGAATATTTCCTATTTTTCTGCTCTATTGATGATCATGGTCACACATGTATACAATTCTAATCACATTTCCTAAAGAAGAAAGTATTTTGAATCTGTAGTTTAATGTGTAGTTTAAAGTTATTGTTAAGGAATCATAAGGTGTAGACAAATTCTTGCTCACTTTGACAGTAGGTCACAACAGACGAGGATGGTACTCCTCATCTCTGTGATAATGAATCAACAGCAAAACAATGTCAACAGCAAGAACCGTCTGCATCAGCAGCTAACACACAAGCAGGACATGCACAAGGCCATATGACATATTCACACAAATGAATATGATGACTAAAGTAAACAAGTGGAAAAATATATTCATGGCCTATTGGGAAAGATAAAAATATAGTCAAGAGTACTCAGGAAAACACTCTTACATGACACTTTGTAGCTAAACAGTAGAGCTCATTTAAAATTCACTGCTGATGCTGGAGCTCTGGAGCAGAGACCAAACATCAGGGTGTGGAAAGAGCAAAGGAGCCGCACCAAAACAAAGGTGTAGAATCCCACATTCAATCTATAAGTATACCTGTGTTTTGGTCCAACATGACACTTACCTAACATTTGGCTGAAGAGTAGCTGCTCCAGGTCTCCCAGAACTGTTACAACTAACTCTGGGTCTACCTTTAAAAAGCCTTTCTCCCCTTCTCCTTCAACCCCTTTTCGGTCTTTCTTATCCTCCATGGACAAAGAAGCACTTCTGGTCTTGTCTCCCAATTTCTTCACCGAGCCTCCGGCTCCATTACTGTTTGGTTTAGTGGGTAGGTCCGAGTCTGTGTCCGCACAGGGACTAGGGTCTAAGGTCTTACTGATTGGTTTGACCTCAGCGTAAGGCCCTCGTGGTTTTCCAGGTCCAGGAATCCTGCTGGTCTTGCCAACAGTGGACATAACAGCAGGAGATACAAAGGGTTTGGGTTTGCCTTGAAATAGGGACTGTTCTGACTTTGAGAGTGTTCGGGACAGGGGCAGCCTCCCCGTAGACTGTCCTGCTTTAGTCTGTGTGCCTTTACTCCCAGGGCCAGCCCGGGTTGAGTCGTCATTCCAGCGAGGGGACTGGTACAGGTGCAATTTCTTCTCAGCATCAGTTAATACACACAAGTTATTTAGAGAGCGCTGCTTCCTTAGACCTGATGAATTAGGAGTTGGAATTGGTATAGATCCAGATGTGGGTCTGTAGACCTTGAGCTCTGAGCCACTAGTCCGCGATGGTCCCTGTGGCAAGGCAGAAGGGTTTGCCATGGTCTTCCTGGAGGCCATCGCATGTGATGAAGACTCGGCGCTGCTGACAGCAGGAGACCTGAGGTCCAGCTCTCTAGGTTTTGCCGTCATGCTAATGTTAGCCACATTAGCCTCCAGCATCCCTCCTGTAGAGACCAAAAACAGACATCAGCAGTGTCATTAAAACAAAGGAAAAGGCTACAAGAGGAGAAAACAAGTAGGCTATGGATACAAAAGCTACAGGGCTACATGTAGCTTGTCCTGTATGTCCCCAGAGGCTCCAGACAGAGCCAGACTCCCCCCTGTGACAGTGGCTTCAGCCCTCCACTGAGATGATGAGGGTTAAAACAGCAGCCGTCACTGTACTCACTGGTAGTGGTAGTCCATGGATGCAGAGACAGGAGCACAGCAGAGTAATCCTCTTGTCTTTGAGGTACAGGTCCTGCCCTCCCTAATGACCATCTAAAGGTGTAGTGAACACAGACCAGTCTCTGGAGCAGTGTCCCTCCTGCCCGAAAGGCAGCAGCGACTGAACTGACAGCAGCAGAGGCAGGAGAGCACCGCCTCCCTCTCTACTGCTCTATGCACACACACTCATTCACCCGCCCTCCTCCTCTCGTCCTCCTGCTGCTCTCCTCCCACTGGCTGATTCAGCTGCCTGTCTATCCTACACACCCCAGATGTTATGTTATGCTGCATACGTAAAAAATGTGAACATGAGTGTTCTATGACCTATGACTATTGTGTCTTTTAACACACAAATCCTTCCTTTACCGACATTTTGAAAAATGCACAATCATAAACCATTACAATAAATTATATACAACAAAAGGATTTTCAAATAACCTAGCGACATTGTTTCTTGGATGAAGTTTTAGTTCTAATTAAGTAGCATTAATACACATACATAGCTATTTTGATAAAACATAATCAACAATTACAAAATATTCCTGTTATAAATGTTACAGATGTGTAGAAACAAATCAACATTATGTGGGATCTTCAAGTTCAGACCATTTACTAAACATGTTAGTCGTACAAAACAAAACAGTCTGGTCACTCTGTCTGTCTTCATTAGAAATTAGAAGCACTCCCCTCCTTCATCTCTTACTCCTCCCATTCCTTCTTATAGTTCTCTCACACGCACGTACACACACTCACGCACGCACACACACCCTCCCCCTACATTTAATACATGGGCAGGCCATTAGGCTGGCAGTGCATAGATTCATCAAACTCTCATCTCTGTCATCGCTGCCTATATTTCCTGTTCTGTGTGTATGGGAGCTCGTTGTGCTTTCACTGAGTTTAAGTGTCACATCGATGAGACAGACACCCAGAGATGTAAATGCTTCCATTGGGAGTCCCGGTCACAGTAGCTGGTGCACTGGGGTAAAAATACGAATACAATTTTGGCAAATCTTATCTTCTAGTACTTGCCTAAAAATATCTGCTTTTAAACCCCAGACTTGGGTGGAGTGGGGTCAACTAAATGGCATTATTTAATTATATCTTCCCCGACCCAGAAATTGATTAATAAAGGGGATGAAAATGACATGACAATTATTTCTCAATTAGAGGTACATCATTAATTCATCCCATAACATTCGTTAATGAACAAAAATTAATAGAGTTGTTAGAATTGTACATTAATATTACACATTTCACACTAAGCCAAAACACTTTGCCCAAACCTGCCAACCAAAACTAGAAGATAGGCTTATCATCCTACTTTTTCTATTCAAACAAATACAGATCCTTTGACAGAAATTGTACTTGATGCATTATAGTAGTACTATAACCCACTGTTATTTGTTAGTGTCTTCTTTGCACTCACACACAAGGCGAGCATTCAAAAAACATGTCAAATCTGCAATATTCAGTTGATAAACCAGAACAAGAACAAGCTACGGCCTATTCTTCCTGATTCCATACTCAATATTTGCATCTGCTATAAAAGAACTCATAAATAATCATAGTCGTACCAGTTGACCTCATAAATGCCAAATTTGCATACATCACTGTTGTGAATTGTCAGGACAGCGGAGCTACAGGGCGATGATAGAAAGACTTCTTTGACATCCGTTGTCTGGCCTGGACGTGTAGACCAGTTCTCCAGTTACTCTGGACCTTACCCGGATGAGCTTAAGTGGAATTTGGCTCCAAAAACCTAAATACTATTTGCAAATTTGTACTTTTTTGAGCAGCAAGTAATTCTAAATCTAAATCAATTAAGCCTAAATGGATGTGTGTCAGGACTCATCTCCAACCGGACTCCATGGGAGCGGTTCTCTCTTTCACTGTAGTTCTCCCCAAACTACAGTGTCTCTCCGGGACATTTATCTATTGCTTAATTCCTGTAAACATTGAAGAATAACTGATTGATTTGACTAAAATAGCATTCTTTACTGCTTTATACAACGGCCAAATACTTCTATAGCACTGTTGAGTAATTTATGTTTTACTGTTTCGCAAGAAGAATTTGGAAGTGGATTTAATAAAGTCCTTGAGTTGATTTGAGTTGGTTTGCCACACCGAGCTGCTGGCTATGTGGTGACAGTTATATGGGTCCCGGGGCAGGCTGAAAGCAAGCTCAGGCGTTAAAAGTTGTAATTTAAGGCTAATAGGTGCTGTACTGAAGCTCTTATACCCCCTGATGAAAGATTTGAGTTTGTTAAATCATGTTGTCCGAGAACAAGGCAGGTCTATGTGTCCCAAGCTGAAATACACCAGTAATCCTATGTTCCCGAACAGAAGTAAAGTGTCTTGGCAGCACACAACCACTTGTTTGTGGGAGCACTCGTCTCCTTGGCTCCATGCTCTAATCACCTTAATATACAGCTAATGTAAACAAAGATTTTCGCACTTGTGAAGGGTGCTCTCAAAGGCACACACGACCTTGCTTGTGCTAATGGACGACTCAACGCAACCGGCCTGGATGCACATCAGAGAGGAGGTATCGGAATCAACGCCAACACTTGTCATTACCCCAAGCATAGAAAGTCACACATTCAGTCCGTACGTCAAGCCATTCGTGGGCTGGAACTCTGGGAACAAGATGGCGAGACTTTGCATGAGTATATTTGCCCTAGCATCACTAAACAGTTATGAACAGATTATCCATTATACTCCCAAGAAGTCATGTGGCGCAGGCAGCAGGACACAACCTCATGCACAAACACATGGGCCGCCTGTGTGGGACATTATATTCATGTTTGCAGAGATCCGTAAGGTCATCCCTGCTAAAAGGAAAAGTACTGCTGCAAGATAAGACATAAAATCAAACGTTGTTGTGTCAATTATTCTGTAAAAAATGTTTTTAATGATTGTAGCCCATCATTGTTTTATTCCTATGACCTAAACATTGAGGTGATCAGTTCTATTTAATACTCGATAATAGACTGGCACTTTATTTTATTTACTTTACATTATTGATTCTTGAATTGTTTTGTTTCTATGGTTTTGGATTCATTGATTTTGTATTAGAAAGCAATTTTATAAAGGGATCTATAAGTAATAGTTGCCAATAATGAAAACATGATACAATACATTTTGAGCAAGTTCAACAAATGGTTGTTAAAATGACAAAATACCCACAAGCTGTGATTGAACACACATTATTTCATTGTGTCAAGAAGAACTAAAAACTACTAGAGCAAGAGTCCCCTGATCCAGATTAGGGCTATAACAAAATAAAACATTAATCACAATGAATCGATTATTCAAATAGTTGTCAACCATAATAGTAATCAATTGAACCTTACAAAGACTCAAAGCTGATGAGAAGTGGTTGTTGGACTCAGATAACTCCGTAATGACTGCAGAATAAATACCGACTGCGGAAATTCAGTCTGGTAGGCTACCTGCTGCAGCCAGTCCAAGCCGGCCCCTTTCACCCTCGGCCTATCACACAGCGCTGCCAACCTACGCCAATAAAGCTTCCTTAACATTTTGTAAAAATCCATAAATGTTTTATTATATTGCTAAAAGACGCAGATGCACAAACCCTGGTAAAACCCCTTGTATGCAAACACAATGTAGTTAGACTTAAGATAAAATGTATATCTCAAATATGTAGTATACTACATACTAACCCTAACCCTAGCAACTTAACAGTGAGTTAACAATAACAAGAGAAAACAATGATATGGCTAATAACGTGTTTGGATATTAGGTCACAGTTTATATTTTGTGGGAGAAACTGTAGTTGTAGTAGTTTGGTTTCACCTACTTTCAGTACTTTAATATCACTGATTTTTCTTATTTATTACTAACTTTGTATTTCAGGAGTAGTACATAAAAACCCAGTAAATTTAATTAAGAACTAAATTATAGTCTTGGACAATGATAGTGTAATAGAATACAAAGCAGAGACGTAAAAGTGGGTGTTTGAAGCTTTAAATATCCAAGAGTATTTGACACAAAAAGTAATAAGGAAGAGGAAGAAAATAGTGTCTGCTTTAATGTGTGCCAACGGAGCAGAGGAAGTCAGTGAAGACAGAGAGGGGAAATCCTGCCCCTGCATTTGTCATCCATTCACTTAAACTCAGATACTTCAACTTAGAGGGTCCACAGGACACAGAATAATACTATAGGCTATGACACAGTAGTGTAAGGCTGTGTGGATGTCCTGTTTACAGACCAAGCAGTGAGTTGGCGCACGGCTGCACATAGCACTTAGCGCCTGACGAAGAAGTACAATAAAAGTGTTACTGTGGGAGTGTTTGCCCAATGACGCGTCTGTGGTGGTCCCAGTCAGATGCGGTGACGCAGGCCTTGACTCACCAGCTGAAGCATTTGGGCAATTCAGGCTCTTTAGGGCTATCAGTGACAATAGAATGAGTGTGTATCCGTCAGACAAGCATAAATCTCACAAGAACACTAGTCAAAGTCACCTATTCACTGTGAGTAATACAACATGTAAGCTAGAAAAACAAAAAACATTTATTTATTTATTTTGCCAAAGCTTTAGCTAATAGCTGCTTTCAGTCATGACTTTCAGAGTAGGCTTCCCAGAGGTATCCCACAATGCCTTGCTACAGAGCTGGTTGCTTGGTTACTGCGTGGCGCCCACAGCAATGGATGTCCTTAAATAGTCCGTCTACACTGGATTCAGAGACTGAAGCTCTATTTCAACTGTAGTATAACGATATACACTGTCCCTAAAGGTTTCTTTAAGATACCGTATATTTAAGAAAATGTGTTTATTTATTTCACAATGCAAAAATTAAAAATCATTTTGCTGAACATTTATCATGGTCAAAATCACCATTTTTGGGCTCTCTCATGTAGATGTAGTTGATTTGTCACATTTAAACTTGTAACCCTGGTCAAATATACACATATACAGTATACAGTACAGACACAGACCAAAAGTTTGGACACTCTTTCTCATTCAATGAGTGCTCTTTCTTTTCATGCCCATTGACTGTAGATTCACACCCAGGCTGT